ATATATATATATATATATATATATATATATATATATATATATATATATATATATATATATATATATATATATATATATATATATATATATATATATATATATATATATATATATATATATATATATATATATATATATATATATATATATATATATATATATATATATATATATATATATATATATATATATATATATATATATATATATATATATATATATATATATATATATATATATATATATATATATATATATATATATATATATATATATATATATATATATATATATATATATATATATATATATATATATATATATATATATATATATATATATATATATATATATATATATATATATATATATATATATATATATATATATATATATATATATATATATATATATATATATATATATATATATATATATATATATATATATATATATATATACATATGTTTATATTATTTATAATATACATATATACATGTATATACACATACATGTCACATATATTATAAAATACATATGTACACATACATAATATATGTATTTATACATATATACATATACATAGATAGTTTTGAAATAAAAAATAAAAAATCTAGTCCTAGTCCAAGCGTACACCAAACGCAGGATAAGTGTTATTCAACTTAGACCAAGCCAAGCCAAGCCAAGACAGTCCCTAAGCATAGTCCATGCCAAGACAGTCTCGTGTACCAAACGAGCCCTAATTGTAATGACCTCAAAAATAATGTTTGGATTTATTATTTTTGTGGAAATTCTTATTAAGTTGTGCAACTATATTGGGTGTTTTATGAATTTCGTTTGATGTGAAAATATTGGAATTAAGTGACTTTAATCTTCATTTTGGACTAAAATGCCCTTACGTTAATTTAATGAATTTTCAATGGACATTCAAGGATTTGAATGGAGAAAATTATGATTCTTGATAGAATGAAAGAGCTTGATCTCACGAACGCGTAAGCGCAAACAGTTCGTGAAACCGAGTTGAAACGAAGAAGTTATGCTCGTTTGAAGTTTCAGGGACTTAATTGCAAAATTAAACAGTGACAGATTTTTGGTTTATAAATTGTGGAGGGCTACTGTGCAAGTCAGAATTTTTCATTTTAGACCGGAGATTAGAGAGCTTGTCGGAGAGGCGATTTCCGGCGTATGGTGGCAGTGATCGACACCACCCACCCAGATCGAAAGCCTACTATCTTGTGAGCATAACCTAAGAAGAATCGGAGCCATCAGAGGTGCAATGAAGGCACGGTGACACTGTGAAGTTGGTTCGTCAATAGTGAAGTTAACAAATTTAACCGGCGGTTTGAGCCACTTGCACTTCGAATCGGACCGTGAGCTAAGAATTAAAGTTTTTATACTCAGTATTATAAACATTTTGGTATAGGTCTTGACTGGTGATTCTAGGGTGGTCCGTGGCCGGAATAGTACCCCGAACCACCACCCGCGGTGGCGGGGCGTGGTGGGGATTCTGAGTTGGGGGTTTTGAGACAGATTGTAGTCCTGGAGTTGCTGAGCATGGTGGTGTGCTTAAAGTGTTGAGATTCCGTCGTTTAGTCGACGATCGGAGCCTCACAAATCAGGACCATTGATTGAAGATGATCGGACCGTTGGATCGTGTCCAATTTTAATTATGTTGTAGCTGGTGTTGTTAGGAGTCTGTAGGTACATACGGATTGATGATCAGGCGTCCCGATCTTAAGTTGTTATGTTTCAAAGTTAAGGCGAGCGATCGTCATCCGATCGTACGATCTAGAATGATCCGACCGTTAGATTGGGCCTAAATTGTTACAGGGTTATGTTGGGATTATTTAGAGTCCATTGGTGCAATCGGATTTGAAATCTGAAGTTGTGGGCCCAAGGCAAATTTTGGGGTGTCGGTTAGACATGTGGGACCCACGGGACCCAAATAGTGACCTTTTGGACAATGGGTGTCATTGGTCATGTTTTGACGTCGACAACATGTATATCATAGTTTTGGAGTTAGTTGGATGATATTTGAATGCTTTGGACCCCCAGTTGGTCCAAAGGGCGTTTTCGTCATTGGATGTGAAATCTTGGATTTTGGAGTTTTGTGCTAAGTTGAGTTATGTACTTTGCTTAGGTACTGTTGGAGTTTGAGTTGCTCGTTGAGGTTTGAGTTTGAGAATTCGTTAAGTTGTTGAAGACGCAGCTTGGACGATCCAAATGCTCTAATGAATTTTGAGCACAAATTGGCAATACTTGAGATAATTGTCCACTCAAATTATTGCTTCCAAGATACAATGTGTTTGTACCATATCTGACCCTCCGCTCACACCATGACACGTGGACCTAGGACAAAGCTAAGGTCAACCTTGCGGCTCGCACCAGTAGATCATTCGCTGCCGATTCAATCGTCAGGTCCTCGCCGAACAGACCATCTGTATTGGATACTGAATGACTCTCATACATACGATCGACATGCCTTGCCGATTCCGCGAGACAACCTTGAATACCCCGTTTGGATATTTGCAGACTCGTGTCGACCTCAGAAGGCACTCCCACGAGTCACATATCGAAACTAAGTACTAAGAGCATACCAGGCACCCTCTATAAATGGCTCCCCCTACCATAGACAAGGGGTAAGAGTTACAACTTGA